CGCACAAGAAGCAGTGAGTGTAGACATAGCCTTTGAGAACAATCTTTTAGTTCAAGGGCATGGCTCAACAGGCTGCGTTACTGTCCTTTCATTGATGGCTTTTCTTGAGAATTCTGCTAGTGTTCTTAGTTCTGTTTGAACAGCATCAACTACTGAGATGTACTGCAGGAGCCAGAGGATGTAAAGAAAAAAGCCCTTTTGCAGGGCTCTCTAATGACTTCCTAGGTTCTATTTGAATGTGATCCAGCTTATGACTCCTCCCCTACAAGACACTGCTACTTTAAAATTGTCCTAGGTACTTCATTTCCACACTTATCGCAATGGGGGAACCCCACAAAAATCTGGTACTTTAATCCCTTCACTTCGATCTGTTCATGCTGCTAGATATGGGGGGAAATGTGCAGTTTTTCCTTATACTGCTTAAATTTGACTTTTTTAGGGGGAAATGTGCAGTTTTTCCTTATACTGCCTAAATTTGACTTTTTTTTAATGCTTCCCATTACTTACAGCAGGTTCCTTCTTCAAAATTTCCATCTGAGGTAGATATTGCAATAGCAGGTAGGATCCATACTCCTGGACTAGGGTAACATTTTCATAGCTACTGTTAAAATAAAAAGATGCCTTCCAGAGGTTGAGCAACTCTAGCAGTCATGGATAGATTAGAGCAGTTTCCCAATTGTATTTGGCCATGGAACCCTTTTCAGCTTTTCAAGGAACCCCTAGGTTTATTGAGCCAAACAAAAGGGGGGGGGGGCAGAGAGAAGAGAAACCACCAGTGCATGAAAATCATATTCCATCCCCCCAGAGGCCAACCGTTGGGAGTCCCCATCAACCACCCACCCCCCCCCCCTCGCAAAAAAACAAAAACAAAAAACACCGGGGATAAAATTCTGTTGAGGAAAAAAAAGGGTGAGGGGGAGATCAAAGTTATTGAGCCAAAAAAAAGGGGGGGGGGGCAGAGAGAAGAGAAACCACCAGTGCATGAAAATCATATTCCATCCCCCCAGAGGCCAACCGTTGGGAGTCCCCATCCTCTCGGTTCCCCTCCTCTCCATCACTTGCTATCCCCAGCCCTTATACATTCTCACCGGGTTGAGACAGAAGATGCAGGCTCTGGGATGTGAATGAGGGATTGGATGTGGGAAGGGGTAAGAAGTGCAAGATCTGGAAGGGAATTTGGATGCAGAAGGGGATGCTGGCTCTGGGAGGAGGCTCCAAGCTGGGGAGTGTTGGGCTCAGGCAGAAGGTTGGGGTGCAGAGCAAGTCATAGGCTTGTGGATGTGAGGGTGCAGGAGTTTGGGTTGGATATGTGAGGGGCTCAGGGGAAGGCTGCTATCCCCAGCCCTTATACATTCTCACCGGGTTGAGACAGAAGATGCAGGCTCTGGGATGTGAATGAGGGATTGGATGTGGGAAGGGGTAAGAAGTGCAAGATCTGGAAGGGAATTTGGATGCAGAAGGGGATGCTGGCTCTGGGAGGAGGCTCCAAGCTGGGGAGTGTTGGGCTCAGGCAGAAGGTTGGGGTGCAGAGCAAGTCATAGGCTTGTGGATGTGAGGGTGCAGGAGTTTGGGTTGGATATGTGAGGGGCTCAGGGGAAGGCAGCTGTGAGTATGATGGGCTCAGGACACAGCTTTATGATGTGTAGATGGTGCAGGAGTGTTGTGGCAGAAGACTGAGGATGTGGGCACGCAGGAGCATGGGAATGTAAGAGGCTCAGGACAGGGGGGTCCAGTGTATGTCAGGCACAGATTTGGGGTCACGTGGTGCAGGAGTGTTATGATGCTGCAGTGAGATGAGGATTTGGGCTCAGTTGGGGGCATGTTGGCTTCATTTTTAAGTAAATTATGTCAAACTCAAAGGCTAGGTTTACACTCACGGCTTCTTACGTGTGCAAGTAATATGCAAATGAGGTTAAGCATGTAATATGAGCCTCATTTGCATACCTAATGAGCCACCATTTTTTTCAGAAGAGGTTCTTGTGCGAGAAGGAGCATCTACACTGCCCCTTCTTGTGCAAAAAAAACCCTCTTGCGCAATGCTGCTCTTCCTGTCAGGTAATAGATGTAAAGGCATTGCAAAAGAGGGTTTTTCCTGGTGAAAGAAGGGACAGTGTAGATGCTCCTTCTTGCGCAAGAATCTCTTCTGGAAAAAAAAAAAGGTGGCTCATTAGGTATGCAAATGAGGCTCAGCAATATTCCATGCTTAGCCTCATTTGCATATTACTCACTCAAGAATCCACGAGCATAGACATAGCCAAAAGGTTTTAGCATTGTCTTTGAGAGGGGCAGGGAACCTGTTTCGAGTCAGGGGTCACGGACCCACAGAAAAAGTCAGATGAGGCCACACAAGTGAGATGCAAAAAAAAAAAAAAAAAAACCAAACCCACACACAACCCTCCAAAGCCCCCAAGCCTCACTACTGTGGTCCCAACTGTGCAAGTGGGTGCTGGCACGAGGGTGCTGCTGGGTGGCAGGATACTGGGGTCAGGAACATGGTCCTGCTAGGCACTGGGATGGGATGGGTTAGGCAGGGTGCTGCTAGGGACAGGGTACTTGTGGGGGATCTGGGCAGGGGACAGGGGCAGCTGGGACCAGTACCTGGCAATCCTGCAGCAGCTCTGGGTTCTAGGAAGTGTGTAACTGCACTACCCCTCCCCAGGCAGCATGCATGCCAGCGGAACAGCAGGGTTGTTGCATGCCAGCAACTTACTTCTAGGATGTAGTCCTGTGTGTGTTTGTGGGAGGGGGGAGAAAAGATGTGGGGAGTCCCAAGGCAGAGTACTGCCTGCACAGTGGGAGCTGCACAGACCCAGGTCTCTTACCTTCCTCCCACCGCACAGAAAGGCCGTGGAACTAAGTTACCAGGTGCCACAGTCCCAGCTGTTCAGGCATGTGCCAGCTCCTTTGGGGAGGTGACGTGCTTTCCTCCCTGCTGAGGGTCACCTCTATCCAGCACCCCCTAGTGTGCTGGCCAGGAGCAACTGTTCCCCTCTGCCCCCACCTTGTTATGCCTGTTACCATGGAGGAAGGGGAAACTAGTGTGCTGCTTCTTTAAGAAGCTGGTTAACCCCTATTTTTGCTTTGTGGAACCCCAGGGTTCCACAGCACACCAACTGAGAAACACCGGATTAGAGTGCTATTATTGCCACAAACCACATTAACTCCCACTGTGAGGAGAGAGGGCCATGCACAGTGGGGGAAATATTCTAGTTAGAATCAAATTAAACACTCTTTAATGCTAAGGACCTAGCTGTTTCACATTTGATCTACCATCTTGAATGAGTCATAACTTGTCTGCTATAACTTAGATCTCTCACCACCCCTCACCTCCCAAATATGTAGAATAGCATCTACTTCAACTTATGTCCAGCTGCACTAACAAAAAAAAGTTTACCAAGGCAAAGTCTACACTACAAGCGATGGTCAAATAAAGACATGCAACTCCAGCTAAGTTAAATCATGCAGCTGGAGTCTACTTCGCTTAGTTCCCACATGGTCTTCATGAGCAAATGCTTGTTGAGATTCCCTTACTCCTCATGAGAAGCAGAAGTACCAGCATCAAGGGAGTACCCTTGAGTTCAATTTAGCAAAAACTGAACTCTGGAAGATAAATCATGGCAGCATTGATCTTCTGAGTAGTGAAGACATGGACTTAAAATAGACAAGAAATCTGCTTATGTTTGAGTCAGGTTTGCTAAGTGCATTTTCACCATTCAAATGAATACTAGAAAAAGCAAACTGCCTCTGATTAGGATTTCTTCACCCCTCCCCCCAATTCAATTTCCTAAAGAAAACCAGTGCAATTTCATAATAAATGTTTAATCTAACAGAGGTAACTAGCTGGAAGGGGCAATGATTTTAGGTGGGGGACACTTCAGAAATTTTTGAAGAGGCCCCAGGCCACTTCTGTGCTTCTCCATCCACAAGACCTTGATTGGCCTAGGGATGGGGGGAGTGCACGAAGTCTTTGCCCCTGCAACTGCCAGAGAATACCTCCAGCTGCTCTGAACAGCTGTCCATTCTAGTGTCTGAGCCCCTGGCAACAGGAGGAGACTTTGCACACTCTCCCTACCCCCAGGTTAATCAGGGCCCAGGAGTAGGGGAGAGCAGTCTCCTCCTGCCTCCTTCCTGCAAGGGGCATGCGGTGCTTTGACTAAGTGCTGCACATCCCCAGTGGGGAAGGAGATTTTGCATGCTCCCCCATACCCAGGCCACAGGGTGGGGTGGGTGGGGGGGGGAAGCCGGGAAAGCAGCAGGGCATCTGCAGTCTGGATCAACCCACATGGTGGGCCAAATCCAGCGCATGGGGGCCCTTTTGCCCACTCCGTACTAACCCCTCTAGGCAAACTGTAAAGTGTTCACCTTTACATTAACTAACTTAAATTGGGAAGACTGAGTCACAACCACTCAAACTCCATTATAGACACTTTTTTTTAAACAAGTCCCACCAGCACATTACCACTATATTTGTAGTCAACACTCTTCTACCAAGAGACATTCAGAAACAAGTCAAGTATCACAATGTTTATTGATAGATACAAGTATATAAAATCAGGGCATGAACATGTCTTGATAAATTAAGTAGACTTAATTTCAATACTATAATAAGAGGGACCAATTCAATTTCTCACCATTTTGTTTCACACCCACAAAAACCACTTCTAAAAGGGCATTTAACCACTTTTCCAAACTGATCAGTTTTTGTGCAAGTAAACCATGTTTCTTTTAAAAAGACTTGTGCACTTGCCCAGGCTCAAGGATATTAAAATCTAGCACATAAAGCCCATTACTAGAGGTAGAATTACAGGCAATATACTATTACGGCAACAACCATCGATTACAGTTAAGGATTCTCTGTAACAACCAAATGGATAATCAAATATTGCAACGACTCAAGTATTACACTGAGCAAAGTGCATTTCTACAGTATTCAGTGTTGCTATTCAGTTTTCTAACTCAACAGCCTATGATAACTGGCAGCAAAGAAAAAACCCTTGCAATAGACTGCTTCTGCTTGAGAACTTATGATGTAATTATTGCATGCTGCTAATACACTGTCATCTAAACATTAAAGATACTCTAAAATATTTTATGGTAGACTATGATTAAGACATACTACAAAAACCTTATGCAGAAGAACATCCTATTGACATTCTTCCGCTTTAAATATTGTGAAACATTACAGCGGAATGAATTTTCGCAGTGGTTAGGTCAAATGCAGTTACATCATAGCAACAGTGTTTGCACAAATTTAAGGCTTTGGCTGGTTTTTTAGTCAGCTTCTTCTTCAGATTCTTCTTCTTCAGCAGTTTCCAGCCAGGTTAGCCACTGGTTTACCTGCAATCATATCAATGCAGTTTCAGAAAGAGTAGACTGCATGCAAACAATGCACAATTAAGATTGTGCGAGTGGTTTTCCACCACAATGTTAGCACAGAAAGGATTTATTCTTCGTAGCATACATGTTGTGGATTACCCCTTCTCCAGCCTTATTGCACAGCGGTGTAGCAGTGTGCCTTTGTTCTGTCAGCTATTTCCTTCATCAGCCCAAACGCTACATACAAGTATTTGTAAATTAAGCACAGTACTTCATATTGTACAATAAGCTTCCCCAAACTCGTAAGCACAGTGAAATAGGCAAACATTCTGAAAAAAGGACTTAATTTCTACTCCATTTACACAATTTTACCTGGAATAAGGCTTTGCCCTTCCCTGGAAACTCTTGAGTGATATCTTCTTTCCATGCCAAAAAGGCTTCTTCTTCAATAATTTCCATGTCGTAGAAATGAACAAAAAAGCGCAATAAGGTGCCTGTTTTTCAAAAAAGGAGGGGGAAAAAAAAAAAAAAAAAAGACAACCACCTGAGTCAACCAATTCCATATTAGGCAATTTGCATTCCCCAGCTACAGAAAGCTCTACACAAAGCTGTACACAAGGTTGACAACTGCAAGCTGAAAAAGAATCATTTACATAAGCAAGGCTCAACAAATTATACAATCTACTCTCCCGTAGTGAGTCGATTGTAACCTGGAAGAGCTGGGTTCAGGCAATCTGCGCGTGCGCAGATCGCTGGACAGCACGGCTGGCAAGCAGGGCTCACCGTGGTTTTGGCAAGCCCTGTAGATAAGTATACTGTAGCACCCCATAGGATCCCAGGTAAGCACATCCCAGTTACAAATGTAGTTGAGCGGCCTTTAAGTAGGTTCACTAAATACATGATATGGTTGGCACTGGATTCATACTTTGCCAATCTGATACTGTATTTGAGGGAAAATATGTAAATACATGCTTACTCATACCTTTTGGAAAGTTGTTGTTGTAGCAGTGCACCTGAAGTGCATACAGAGCACTCACTTGTAGATCAACATGGTCATGAAGAAACTTCTGCATTACTGGCTTAAAGGAAAGAAGCAGTTGTTTTTCCTGTTCTAGCTGCTCTTTAGAAGGAGCAGATGAAGAATCTGGTTCATCATTAGGAGGGCTTACTTCACTTGAAATATACTGCAAGAAACTGGAAATAAGAGTTAAATTTAAATATTTTCTAAGTCTAGTGGAATTTTTTTACAAAGTACCTTCACAAACTCTTTTAGTTGTCATTTGGTTAGATACACAGTGGCTGCGTCTAGACTGGCAAGTTTTTCCGCTTGCTGCTTTTGCAGAAAAACTTGCCAGATGTCTACACTGGCCACTTGAATTTGCACAAGAACATTAACGATCTAATCTAGTCAGTGTTTTTGCGCAAATACAATGACTCTCCCGTTCAGGAAAAAGCCCTCTTGCACAAAATGCTTTTGCGCAAGAGGGCCAGAGTAGACAACTGAGAACCATTTTGCGCAAAAGAGCCCTGATGGCAAAAATGGCAATCGGGGCTTTCCTGTGCAAAACTGCGTCTAGATTGGCACAGATGCTTTTCCGCAAAAAGTGCTTTTGCGCAAAAGCGTCCATGCCAATCTAGACGCTCTTTTCCGCAAATGCTTTTAACAGAAGTTTTTCCATTAAAAGCATTTGAGGAAAATCATGCCAGTCTAGACGTAGCGTATCAGTTTTTCCTTTCAATTGCTTAAGCCCAACAAGGCCCTCTTTGGGAAAAGTATTCATAATGAATCAACATGTTATTTGTAGGTCTGTTTACCTTTGGATGCAAGGAATCCTAAGCGGTTTCCATATGTACTGTTAGGGCATTGAAAGACTGACAAGGTCGAGATCTACTCTAGAGCACTCGGTGGTAGTGCTTTAAATGGCATCAACCCCCTACTTATACAGGATCTCAGGATACATTTTATTCCAGCTTTGTGGACACTTTATAAACCATTTGTAGCACAAGTCAGTTTTTAACATGTCTGAACTACTAACAAGTAAGGATTTCATTTCAGAGAAATCCTAGCAATCTCCTCACCTGGTCATCAGAATATTCACAAATCCCTTATCTACATGAAGTTTGGGTGAAATGTTGTCTTTAATCCATTTATAGATGGCTTGAGGGGATGGATCCAACTTTATTTGCTTCAACAGTTCCTTCTCCAGTTTCAGAAGTGGGAACAAGAAACTTAGTCCTTTCCCTTCCAAGATCTCCAGCATACGATCTTTATTCTGATCAATTTCTAAGACAAATTGAATAAAAGTTCTACATTAGACAATTTTTTTTAAAAAGGTCAAACTATGGACCAAACCAGTTCAAAAGGAGAAAGCTTTAGTTACTGTGCAGTGGAAGTAGAGTCCATCCACGATGAGCACTCATGAGGTAGGACGACAAAGGGAAATGAAGCTACGATTTAAATAATTGGCCCTTCATTTAAATAAAAATGGCTGCCACACTGTGCCGATCAGCTGTTTTGTCGGCACAGTGCGGCAGTCTAAACAGGGATCTGCCAACCCCAGAACCCTCTGTCGGCAGATCCCCGTCTAGACTACCATGCTGGGCCAACAAACAGCTCATCAGCACAGCACGGCAGCCATTATTTAAATTGCTGCTTCATTTCCCTTTGTCGAGTAAACTAATCTACATGGCTTTGTCAACGGAGCCATGTAGCCTAGACGTACCCTAGGTAAGGATGTACACGTGCTTGTTGTACCTATTTAGGAGACTTTGCTACTAGTAGTGCCTATGGCTCTGCACATTCACTATAGGCTCCTACTACTATGGAAGGAGTTTCTTCTGAATTTCACAGTACAGTAAGACTCCAAAGCAAGTGGGAAAGGAAGTAATGGCAAATATAGGGCCAAGCAGTGCTTTTTGCGATGGTACGGCCCAGTATGCAGTACCGGCACCTCCAGACACAGTACCAGCACCCCCAGCTCAACAACTTTTCCCAAGGAGTACCAGCATATTTTTTTTTTTTTTTTTTTTAAACAAAAAAGCACTGGGGCCAAGACATCAGGAAGAATGCAAGTTACCATAAGGTAGGTTTAAATTACTGTAAATGGTGGATTCTCTGTAAGTTGAAGTCTTCAAAATCATGATTTGAAGACTTCAGTAACAAACAGATGTTATGGATTGACACTTATGTGGCTTTTAATGTGCAGGTCAGATTAGAGTAGGAGAGACTCAGATTTCAAGGCCAGAAGGGACCATGTCAAGTACTCTCTGAGTTCTTGCCCTCAAGGATGCAAAAGTCCCAAACAGCACTTTTCTCTGTAAGTTGAAGTCTTCAAAATCATGATTTGAAGACTTCAGTAACAAACAGATGTTATGGATTGACACTTATGTGGCTTTTAATGTGCAGGTCAGATTAGAGTAGGAGAGACTCAGATTTCAAGGCCAGAAGGGACCATGTCAAGTACTCTCTGAGTTCTTGCCCTCAAGGATGCAAAAGTCCCAAACAGCACTTTTTTAGGAGGTGGATCTGGTGCAGACCACAAGGACAGCTTTAAAGGCTATGTCTGCCCAGAAGACATGGAATGAGGCATTATATCATGAAAATTAAGAAAGGACCTTCAAGTGTCCTTGATGGGGAACTTCCCGAGGGCAAAAGAATTATATGAGCCCTTCTGGAGTAAACAGACTTAAGCGGGGTACGGGTTAGGGGAAGAGGAAGGGAAGGTTCCATCCCAGAAAATAAATTGGACCCCATATACATTTCAGTCTGAGGAGAGAATGAGTGACCACTCACTCGTGAGGGCAAAGTTATGGAAAAGCCCACTGAAGAAGAGCTTACTTTGATAAAGACAGAAAGTCAGGGCTCATTTTATATTTAATGTACGAAGACTAGTCACTGAATCTTATCCCAAGTTCATTTGTCTAGAGAAGACAGCTATGCATCCTCACGGACATGGAATTCCAATTATAGTTTAAGTGTATGGTAGGTCTGTAAAATAATTTTGTCCAGAAAGAACACAGCTATAAAGACTTTCAGTTCTCCTATCCTTCTGGCTCAGATTGCCACAAGACAGTGGCAGATGGAAAGTTGAGACAGCAGAACCTTGACCGAGCTCAGGAACAAACTGCAGGATTAGTACAAAAGCTAATAATTGATGTCACGGGAGAATCAGTAGAAGATAGCAAATGCTGGGTGAATCAGATCAGAAGATACTCCTTTCAAATGTGTTTCTTGCTATCGGCACTTAGAACCAAATTGATTCCAGGTAAACATCCCTGCACTATGTGTGCCCAAGACCAACTGACAGAACAGGGTACAGAGGAGCTGGGGCAGGTTAGAGAGCCCCACTACTGTGTCAGAATGCCAGCCACAGAAAGATACAGAAGCAGACCAGATGGGCCAGGAACCATACCTATGTCTTGGTCCACTTTTGGTAATTAATAGGATTGTGACTGCCATTTTAGTGTGAACAATTTTAGTGTGAGCAAGCTTTATAACCAGTGAAATTGAAGGGAAGACAAATAAAAGATCCCAGGAACAAAAACATGCTGAGAACATTCCCCAGAGACTCACAACTGGGAGTCTCTTAAAATGTCACTTCTCAGGTCATGAAGTTTAAGGTGCCATCTGTGTGTCATCTCCGGCATCTTTCAAAAACAGCACATCAGTCAACTCTTTTGTGATTCTGATGGCATTACTAGCCAAACAAAACCAACCCTTTCCTTTTGAAAATGCAATGGCATACAAACATCCTCATCTAGGGTTTCCACAGACAACTTGAAGAATGAACACTATATCAAATAATTCAGTGGAGTAGGGAAAAAAAAGTCAATTTAAGAAACACTGTATGACAAAGTTTTTAACTGACTTTTTCCCTCCTCAACCTCCAAATGTGTTATGGCATTTTCTACCCTAGTGCATTTTATACAAAAAAGTTGAAAGACAGAATGATTAATAGTATGTCACAATAAATATTTTGATCACTTACCTGGCAACATCTTCTGCATGTTGACTTTACTTTGTTGGAACAGTTCAGTTAGCCATTCGCGGTCTTGTAACTTAGCCAACTGCTGAAGGCAAAGCAAGAAGAGGGGGAAATGGGTGCCACTCTCCAGTGGTTGAGCCAGTTCTGAAATGCTCACCAGTTCTGAAATAATGGCACGAGCTGCAAACTGCGCCAAGTAAGATTTCACCAAAGGGATGTCTACCTCCAGTTTGGGACACTGAGATGGAAAAGTTAGTTGCAGTTCCTCAGACAAATAATGTTGCTGACAAGGTGAAAGACCTTTAAGAAAAGTCATTAGGAAATGCTGCTTTATACAAAGTGTGATCCACAGACCAGTACCGGTCCTTAGAAAAATTATCACACACGATCCTATTAATTTGTGTGACAGGGTAGCAACACCCCACATTGCCAAACATGGCAGCGCAGCCCTCTTGGGAGAGAGGGCCCACCACTGCAGCACCTCTGCTGGGCATGCTCCCGGGTGGCGAAGCTAGATCCGGCAGGCACTAGAACCCAGGGAGAAGGCCGGGCACTGTGTACACTGATGCAGAATGCCGGTTGCCAGCCACAGCCAGGGGAGCCGGTGCCGGCTGGGATTGGGGATCGGAGCAACCCACTGCACAGGTAGGGCCAGCAACAATTTGCATATTCATCATTTGCTTAATGAAAATGCAAATGTTACCAGTCCTCCAAAAGCCTGTGAATGGGTTTACTGGTTCCCAGTATCAAAAAGATTGGGAACTACTGATATAAAGTATTCTTTCCATAGGACACTAAACTACACTTCAAGTGAAAAAGTGTGTGATTACACAGATTAGTACCTATATTTATTATAATAGTGTTTTTCAAACACTGCATTGTAACCCTTTTTGTGTGATAGCCACCTTATTGTATAAGGTGGTAATTTAATTCCCATGTATCTGCAGTTCAACCCGTTAAATTAAAGGTATCCACTTCATGGTAACCACCTTATGACTCAAAAGGCCAGTTGAGCGCCCCATACTACATGAAATTATAGGGAAAGTGTTTGGACAGTTTTTCTATTTGTGGATCTTGTCAGTCTCCACTGAGACTAATATTGAAATAGGAATGTTGTTGTAAAGCCACAACTGGGACAGGGTCTTGCAAGGTCACCATTCAGATCACTTTCAGTTTTTAAGCTGTCTTTAAGTTAACACATCAAAACCAGAACATTTAACTAAAATAATTCCAAGGCTACAGTGTACCTGCATGAAGTTGTCACTAGTGGCTATTCCTTCCTGCTTGAGTAAGCTTATTAAAGCACTTGCTTTCTCTTTATCTTCATCAGATCGGTCTAAGGATTGAATGATTACTTTGCTCAACATCTCAGGTAGAAAGTGCTTTGGAGCCCTCATTTCTCTCACACCACTGATAGCCTCATTTGCATTTCCATTGTTTAGATAATCAGTCACAACAGCTTCCTGAAATAGAAATGTCTGAGTTCCATTGATTTTTTTTGGGGGGGGGGG